TCTCTGTCTCTCTCTCTCTCTCTCTCTCTCTCTCTCTCTCTCTCTCTCTCTCTCTCTCACACACACACACACACACACCTATTTTCATGTTGGGCACTATCTAAATGTTTAGTAATATGGAATAAACTGTTACATGACACTTTAGTTGTTTATATACTGACCATGTATTTGCATAGTGAAAAATTAGCAAGTTTTTTGTTGTTGTTTTTCCATTTAAGAGCACATGACTTTCTTTTCCTCTTATACAATATACAGACATCTGGATTTTTTTTTTGTTTTTGTTTTTGTTTTTTTTGTTTTTTGAGACAGGGTTTCTCTGTGTAGCTTTGGAGCCTATCCTGGCACTCTCTCTGGAGACCAGGCTGGCCTCGAACTCACAGAGATCCGCCTGCCTCTGCCTCCCGAGTGCTGGGATTAAAGAGATCTGGATTTTGCATTAGTTTCTAGTTTGAATTGAAGACTATGTTCATGTCTGTTTTGACTCACTTGGCACTGGTTTGGTTTCCTCATGGGCTTACTATAAACAATATTGGCTAATGACTGTGTCTCAGTGGGGAATGAGTGTGTCTTAAGGGCCTTCTCAACCTTGGGTGGTGAGTTTGAGAGTGGTGAATTTGAGAGTTCACGCCAAACTCACAAATTAAACTGACTTCATGTATGTCCTGTTTTCTGTTTTGTTTTTGAGGTAGGTTCTTGCTCTGTAGGTAGCCTGGGAAGCCTCAACTTCGTGATCCTCCTGCCTCAGCCTCCCAAGTGCTGGTATTGTAAGGCCTGCACCACCAAGCCCAGCCCTTATATGTGTAAATTTTGGATTCAGCTTTGCACTCTAAAATGGATCTTCTCCTTCGTTTGGCTGTGGTCTAGCAATGATAGTGTATCTTTCTATTTATATCTCTATATTTACTGTCAACTCCTTGGTGGCCACAATTTGAAAGTTTAGCAGGCAGCCTGTTATACTGAACACTGAGACCCCCCTTGCTTAAAGAACTAGAGGTGTCATCTCTCCAGGTAGGGGAGCCAGGAGACACTTCGCCTCTTCAACTCTGTGGTACCGTCTAATCTGCTTGCTTACCTTACCCCTGTCCATTGCATGGAGTTATGGAATGATATATCTATTTAAGAAATGCTTTGAAAGTAAGGTTTCCAATACAATATTTTTGTTTGTTTCTTTAACAGAAATCATAGTCCGTTAATGAGTTTTGGAGCCAGCTTTGTCAGCTTTTTGGTAAGTTGCTATCAAAAGAGATCTTGCTGTAAAACAATATAAACCAATGCCTGTTTGCCTGCTGGCTGTATATTGTAGAAAAGTTTTTTTTTTCCCCATTAACCAGTGTCTGTGAGATAAATGTTCTCCCCCAATTTTAAAAATACAAAGCCTATATATAGAGTGTTATATTTTTCCCAACCTGACTTTTTGTTGTTGCTTTAGAATAAAAATCTAACTGAGAGTCCTTCAAAGATTAAGGTTGTGTGTGACAAGATGAAAAGTCTTCAGTAAGAAAGTTTAGCTCCAAAACTGAGTAATAGCAGCCTAGATGATGAGTTCAGAGAGAGCTAAAGCGTTCTGATACTGCTGCTTGAGAGCAGAGGAATTGGTTACAGTCAGGGTCATTATAGGAAGTTGGTTGCTTTTGTTTTTCAGAAATGTTTGTCATGCAAAATAGTTTTAAACACATCATTTAAAAAAATTATCATAGGGTTGGGTGGTAGTGGCGCATGCCTTTAATTCCAGCACTTGGGAGGCAGAGGCAGGTGGATCTCTGTGAGTTCAAGACCATCCTGGTCTACAAGAGGTAGTTCTCGGACAGTCTCCAAAGCCATAGAGAAACCCTGTCTCTCGAAAAACAAACAACCAAACCAAACAAAAAACTTCATCATAGAATTGTGTAATGGGGAAAATGTGCAGAGTAAAGACTAACGGTAAAGAAAATTTGCATTCAAGATTGAAAAAGGTAGCAGCCAGTCTGCCTGTTGTAGATGGCCTGCCTGGTCCTCTGCCAGGACCAATAAGCTGGTTCTCACTCAAGCTATTGGTTTTTCTCTTAATGGAACAGAAGTTTTAAGACCTCCCCTTTGTAAGAATGCCAGCTCCATACTCAGGGGAAGATTGTTCTAGATGGGGACTGTAACATTAGTGTCTGTCTCAGTGAAAGGGTTGGTTATGGGTCACAGTTTGGGGTATAGTCCATCATGGTTAGATGTCACAGGCAGGAGCCTGAGGTAGCTGGTCACACTGGAGCCCTAGACACACTTAGAGAGTGTCTAAGATCCCAGGCCAGAGAATGGTGTCACACACAATGCATAGGTCTTCCCATCCCACAGGCCTTCTCAGGTGATTTTAGAGCCCATCAATTTGACAGTTGAGATTAGCCACCACAGTATCCAGGTGACTGTGAGGGAGGCCATGGAGTCAAGAGACAGAGGGTCTTGGCTAAGTAGTGCAGTGAGGAGGAATGGAGAGTTAGGTTCAGCAAAGCTGAGAGGATGGCTGGAAGGAGAGGGGCAGAGGGGACTGAGCTCTGGTTTGGCTGTAATGCAAAAGTCAGTTAGAGTTATGCCAAAGGAACCTAGAATGCCAGTGCCACCCAATGAAGAATGGAAAGACAGCAGATCCAACAGGGCCTCCAGAGAACTGCACGTCCTGTCCATGTTGTGTGTTCAGCTTAGAGACCTCCATTCTTTCCCAGGTGCTTTGATACCTGGTGGGGGCAGAATCCGAAGTTCAAGGTCATTCTTATCTGTTTATTGACTTCAAGGCTAGCATGGGCTACATGAGACCACACTAAAAAAACCAAGCCAACAAAAGCCCACTGTTGTACTGGGTACAAGTCACAGGGGCTCATCAGATAATGAGGAGTGACTGTAGGTCATACAAAGTGAATTCCTTGCAGGTAAGTCCACCCACAGGATTCCTGTCCTGGTACATTTCCCAATGGTATCTACTCATTATTCTTTTACTAGCATTTTCATTCAGTATTTAACCCAGGGATCCATCCAATGAACTTCTGAATGGGACACTGTCATAAAAACTGAATAAAAAACTACACAGCATTCTGATTATGTTTAATTAAAAAAAAAGACAACTACAAGGGCATTCACCAACACGTGCTGGCATAAAGCTATAAAGTCTTCTCTTCTATGGAGATTACAGTTTCTTTAATGCCTAGGGTGTACTGTAACAGTGTGAACCTTTTTTACTTGGCAATAGTTGAGATGATTTTCCTAGCTTGACATTTCATGGTCACAAAGCCTGTGATTCCTATGCTTACTGATTCATTTGTCCTTTCTGTTTCCTGGAAGAATGCCATGATGACATTCGAGGAAGAGAAAATGCAGTTGGCATGTGATGACCTAAAAACTACAGAAAAGCTGTGTGAAAGTGAAGAGGCTGGAGTCATCGAAACAATCAAGAATAAAATTAAGAAGAGTGTAAGTGACTTGGCTCTGGCTTCTGGGTGGTCCCATTCCCTAAGCAGGGGTGCTGAGCTGTATGAGATGGGAGAAAACTAGATAAAAGCTGAGGCAAGCAGGAGGCATGGGGCCTTGACTGGGTGTGATGTGACTATCTGTTTTAAGTTCTTTCCTTGATTGCCCTGAATGAAGGACTGCAACTTGGAATTGGAGAGCACATTAAACCATTTTCTCCCTGAGTTGCTTTTGGTTAGGCTATTTTATCACAACAGAAATGAAAGCTTCTTGGTGGAGGCTCTTGGGGTGAGGGTTTCCTGTGTGTGATTACACATGCAAGGATAGTGGCGGATAGAATAGTCACATGTTGGTATGTTTCTGGAATCCAGCTCTTGACCTAATTTTCCCTGGAGCCTCAGTGAGATCACTGTCCAGGCTGGGAAGACAGCCCAACTGTCAATTGTGTACACATGAGGACTTGAGCCCAGTCCCAGAACTCATATAAAAGGCCAGGCATGATGGCATACACTTAATCTCCAGCACTGGGAAGGCACAGATGCATGAGTCGTCTGCCTTAACTGGTCTCAAACAGCAAGGTGGTGTGGTGGTGAGAAGCCTCCCTGGGAAAAGGTGCTTGCTGCCAGATCTGACAACCTGAGTTCAAGCAGTAGGGCCCAGAGGGTGGAAGAAGAAAATTGACCATCATTGGCCCCTGCTTGCATACAGTGGTATACCCACACACACAAGTGAAATTTAAATTAAAAACAAAAAAAACAAGGTGGGTGGTGTCTGAGGAGGAACCATGCCTGACATTATCCTGTGACCTCCACGTGCATGTGTACATACATGCACACAAACACACAAAAGATGATAATCCACATATTTAGAGTCTGTTTTCACCCATCTTTCACTACAAATATCTCAAGGTATTGAGAGGCTCTCACCTTCCCCCAGTACTAATTGTACTGTTTGGGTTTCATATATGTCACACACATGACTTAAATGTGTGTTGGTTGTCGTCACCAAGTGCTCATCTTTTCCTTTGCTTCCTCAGGTGAGCCCTGACTGGTCACGCAGTTGTTAGTGATGGCTTTAGCTCTGGGATTACAGATAGGCACCAGCACGCCTTACCTTTTATGTGAGCTCTTGCTCTAGAACTCAGTTCGCCATGTTTGTGAACTGCTGAGCCATTTCCCAGAATCCCAGAACAGTAGTCTTTTTCACTCATTCTTTGGTTCTTTCTAAATGTCACCGCCTGCCTCCATGCTCTCCTGCCTGGGGCTCTGAGCCCTGGTGAGCTGCCTGCTGGAGGTCCCCATAGTTGGACAGCTACAGTGTTTTACTTTATTGTACATGGTAATAAGAATGCTGTTTTCTCTAACTGGAAGGTCATTCCTGTGCCTGGCCTGGGGTCACTCTGTCGCTGACATCCTCGATAAGTCACTTGGTGTCGAAAGCGGCATCTTGTGCTGCAGGTGTTCCTCAGCCTTCTGGCAACCCTGCATGGTGGATGCTGTTGCTGGAAGGAAAGGAGAGAACAGCCTGACATTTTTCTGTACCAGCGACTGCTGGACTGGACAGAGAGCAGCACTGACCATGATGGATTATGTTAAAGTTTAGAAAGATGAGGTGAAACGGTCGTCCTGTTGTGTTTTCCACATGCACAGTTGACATACACGGTAGAAACATGTCATTTTTTACACCACTCTGAAACTATGTACAGTTACTTCAGACAGTCTGTTCTGGGGTACTTTGTAGTGAGAAGGCAGTAGTCCGTGTCACGGTGATTGTTTTCTCATTCCATTTAGAAATATCCTTATGACAGAGACTAGCATTAAAAATTTGACTTTCTGCTTGTTTTTACTTATATCTCTTAAATGTCAGGTATGGTTTCTGATTTAGATAGAGATTAATTTTTGACTTCAGGAAATATTCTGATTAATGGATGGATATGTAACCAATTTCTCATCCTTGCATTTCAGTTACCCACAGCAAAGGATGCACCCTAATATTAGTGTTCCCTAAAGACAGGCTGTAAAATGGCCTTTCAGGATATCTGCTGTGTGGGGTGTGTCGTATATTAATACCTTTCATTTGCATTAAAAATTTACATTGTCTGAAAATAGACGACTCCCTTATTAGTTTTTTTTTTGCCATTTTTCATGTTTCTCATATGTCCCATTTTCATCATTGACAATGACATTTACAACTGTTGGCACAGCCGGAGCGAAAGGGGGTGTTGGCCTCCAGGATAACTTGGTCTTGGTCTTGGATTTGAATGGCCACCAGGCTTCACAGTTCCTGTGGGAGTCATTTTGTGCCATGGAGCTGCAGATGCAGATATTTGGAAACTGTGCTCTTCTTAGATGTGATATGTGATATGTTCTCTTTGCAACACAGGTTGATGCCCGAAAATCTGCCCCCTCGATGGTTGATCGACTTCAGAGGCAAATCATTATTGCTGACTGTCAGGTCTACCTGGCTGTACTTTCATTTGTAAAACAAGAGCTGTCGGGTAAGCCAGAGCACTTAATGCTGTTCACAATTCTGTGGATACATTGTTTTTTGTTTTGTTTTGTTTTTTTGTTTTTCGAGACGAGGGTTTCCTCTGTGCAGCTTTGTAGATGAGGCTGGCCTTGAACTCAAGGATCTGCCTGCCTTCTGCCTTCTGAGTGTTGGAATTAAAGTCGTGTACCCCCACTACCTGGCAAATTTGTTTTGTCTTTCTCCCCCACCCCTGTAGACACATTGTTAATGCTGTTCATAGTTTAATGCTGTTTGCTCTTCTGTAGACAGATGTTCACTATTCCATGCATTCAGTTTTAATGCTGTTCACTATGCTGTGGACACATTTTTAATAATTTTATTATTCAGTGGACACAGTCAATAATACTCTTTTTTATCTTATATTTTGAAAACACACACATGGCAGTGCTCTTCTTTAGGGGGTCATTACTGATTTGTTATTTAGGAAACTGAAACTATGGGAGCTTCATGTGTGTTTAGCACAGTCCTTTAGTCCTGAATTTTGCATCACAGTCTTCAGTCTTAAGATGGTTTTGTCTTTCTTAGAGAAATACCTAGTGGCTTTCATATGTGGGGCCATACGATAGTGCCTTGGTCATCAAGTTGTACATGTTTTTCTTTAAAGTGAAATCAAACTTTTAAATTTCAGCTTCTCAGGAAAGGGAAATTGTTTTGCGCTCCTTCAGTGTCAAGTGTATCAGGAATGATTGATTCCCTGCTGTCCTGAGAGCCTGATGTCAGAGTGAGCTTAACGAGGGTATGAACTAGGCAAAGTGTTGTCACTGCTTTGCCCAGCACACTGAACTTGTCCTCCAGGTTTTGCTGTCTCATTTCTTGAGGAGGATGGGTTCAGATGAGCCTGGCAAAGCATGCTGTGAGACAGATTTCCTGGTCTGGTTATATCTCTTGGATCCTGAAGCCCCCGCCACTTGGCCAGACAGGATTTGCATACAGGGGAAAAAATAGATGAAAACATTAAGTGGAAATCAATTCAAATTCATGCTCAGAAAGACATTTCCTCTTAAACCTTAAATGAAGGTGATTTTCCCGCTGTGAAATATAATTCATACTTTTCTTTCTAGACAACTGGAAATGATTTCCTCCCATTGTCTTCTGTGTCCATTTCTGTCTTCTACTTCTGTTTTACTTTAGTTGAAAGGGTATTTAACTTTTTCTGTTTTTTGACTTCTAACATTTAAACTTCAAACATCTATCTTCGTTTTGAAAGACCCCTGGAGGCTCAGGCCCCCAGGATCTCAGCCCAGGACTGCAGCGACCCCAATCACCAGGCGGAGTCAAAAACTTGATGCAAACATCGAGAAGTTTTATTGTAGTTGTTTAACGAGCTAACCCAATGTTAGCTCGGGCCTTTCATCCATCCACCATGGCGGATGGCTACAAAACACACCTCGAAGCCACAGCATAGAGATCTTATAGGGCAGCGCAAGGGGAGTGTCTAGGGGTACGCACAGAGAAGTGGTGTGCCTCCAGGCTTAGAGGGTTTGCCCTGTGTTGATTGGTCAACTGGTTGTTATGGCCCATAGGCCCTCCCAGGGCGGTTACTATGCTCTACATGTCATTGCTGTGCACTTGTCCGTAAAGCACACCCAGAGTTGTAAAGCATAGCACTACCAGCTAACTTCTAATTGGTTCCTTGCCACAAGGCAGGCATCTGACCTCCTAGTGACCAAGGCAAGGTCAGGCAAGCATATATTAGGCTGTCATGGCTGCCAAAATGGGCAGCTGGTCCCTTCAGTTTGAAAATATGTACTGCTTTTACCTTTTGTCCTTTTTTGTTTGTTTTGTTTTTGTTCTTTTCTTCCCTGTGACTTTTTCTTGTTCAACTGTGCAGTGACTGGTAGATACTGAGCGGCAGCACACCTTACCGGAAACTGAAGTCATGACAAGAGCTCTTGATTATTTGTCATTTTGGCATTCTTTTTCTGATGCCCAAGCATTCTGGTGAGGATCTCATTTTAGCCACCAAGAAAATGATCTTGCCAGGAATGGTGGTACATGCCTTTAATTCTAGCACTGGGAGACAGAGGCAGCCAGATCTCTGAGGCCAGCCTGGACTAGTTCCAGGACAACTAGGACTACATGAAGAGATCTGTCTCAAAAATAAGATGGCTGGGCAGTGGTGGCACACGCCAGCACTCAAGAGGCACAGACAGGTGGATCTCTGTGAGTTCAAGGCCAGCCTGGTCTACAGAGTGAGTACCAGGACAGCCAGGGCTACACAGAGAAACCCTGTCTTGAAAAACAAACAAACAAACAAACAAAAAAGTATGAAGAAAATGTCTAAGAGAGGATAACCAGTTGTGTTGTTGTTGTTGGACAAGTCGGGAGGATCCCTTGAGCCCAGAAGTTCAGGACCAGCCTGGGCAGCAACAAAGAATACCTCCCTCTGCCTCCCCCCTCCTCCCCACACAATTTTATTTTTACTTCTGTGTCTTGGTATGGTAGGTGTTGAGTAACAGTACCCTTGGAGGCCAGAAGAGGGCATCAGATCCCTCAGAGCTGGAGTTTGACTTGGTTTTGAGCTGCTCAGGTCTTTTGGAAGAGCAGTCCTCTTTTTTTTTTTTTTGCCACTGAGCCATCTCTCCAGCCCCAAGATTCTGCCTTGTAAAGAACAGAAGTTAGTCATTAAAAGAGAAGGGCCAAGCAGATGCAGTGAGGTGTTATGTGAAAGTTATCAAAAGTTGCAGAATGGATTCATCCGCCCTTCATTGGCTTACTCAGCACTTAACGGAACTCCTGAGAGTGTGAGCACTGTGGTAGGTGAGCAATGACAGGTATGGGTTCCTCCTACAGTTTAGACTCATCAGACAATATTCTTTGTTTCTGATTATTCCAATTGGAAAATGGCCAAACATTGTTATAGAAATACTGAAAAGATTTCTGTTTAAAAAACAAAGAAGTTAGGTTATCACCTCTGGTGTTTCCACTTGGAAGGAAGATCCTCTTATTCTGCATCTTTCTGAAATAGTTTTTTAATGAATTTGAACCTACAGTTCGTTGTCCCACCTCTCCCTCGGATATGGCAGTTCTGACTGTATTCCCGTGGCTGTTTCAGAGTGCAACTAGAGACCACAGCATACATTTATGTTGCAGATGGGCCATGGCGTACTTAGTCAGTCCTTGTGGGCATTTGTGTGTTCTTTATTGTTTGTGCCTTTACTGGTTTGTTGGTCTTTGTCTTGTTTATTAGTGGAGTAGAACCTATTTACTTTTGACTCTTTTTTTTTTTTTTTGGTTTGTCTTTTCCTCAGTTTATTTTTTTTCAGATTTTTCTTATTTGAATTAGAAACAGGATTGTTTTACATGCCAATCCCAGTTCCCTTCTCCTATCACATATTCTTTCTTCTATTCTTCACCTGACTCAACCTTTCTGCTTCCTCATGACCCCTGCATCCTTCCTCTTCTTCCCTTCTCATTCTCATAGCTCCCTCCCCCCTCTTGCCGTGCTCCTTTTGCCTCTTTAATTGTATGGTGGTGCTGGGCACATGCCCTGGGCCTCCCTGTGCTAAGCTGTCCTTTACTGTGGAGCCACTGTTATTCCGTCCATGAATCACATCTAACAAGATGCCTTTCTGGGCTTTGCTCCCTTCTCCTCCTTGTCTGCTGCTGACCAGGGTGATGCTGTTCTTGCCTATCAGACAGTTTACAGCATTCTTGGTTTTCCAATTTATTAAATGAGATACTGAACCTGAAGGGAAACTCTCAGAGGCTCACAGCCTTGGGTCATGGCCATTTGTTTTATGAAGAACTGGGTGTTTCTCCAAACAGTGAGCTTCACACAAGTGATTTCGTTTACATTATTGTTGGGGTTGTCTTTGCTTTTGGTCTGTTCATCTTTTCTGAGCTGGGTCTCACTCTAATAGCCCAGGTCAGCCCCCAACTCATCATCCTCCTGCCTCAGATTATAGGTATGTAGTACCATCATGCCTGGCATCTTGGAGAACATTCTAGATGGATACACTTACAGAAAAAAGTAGAACCATAAAGCTCTATCTTCAAAGCTCTTCCCTCTGAGCAGTGGGCACACACTCACCAAGCTGTGAGGGGCAAGTCTAAGTTTTTCAGGAGCCCTTTCATCTGCCTCACTTGAACTACTTTTTGACAAAACACCTATCGTCTCCCTCCATGTTCCAACATGACCTTACATCTTTGTAACTACAATCTGAGGGTCTTTTTCTTCTTTAGGCAGTGAGCATATAACTTTGCAATAAGAAGTTCTCTTGGAAACCTGCCTTGTAGCCCTTGCACACCTGGGCTTATTTCCTTGTTACCTTTGTGTTTGAAGGGAGCGCTGTCTGCTGGTTGTTGTGTTCTTGGCACAGTGAATGCTCAGATGGCCTTCCTGACCTTTTCCTCCCTTTCCAGAGAGACAACCACATTTTCCTACTTTGTCACTGAGCTCTGCCCCCAGTCTGGCTGCTTGTGCCAGCACCTCCTTGTAGCCCCACAATGTGGGTGTCTCCAACCTCATCCTGATGTGTTCCCCATTTCCAGCGTCACTAGCCCTACTCCCTGCTGTTCTCCTACAATGTGTAACACCTGTGCTTTGGACACTTAGCTGGTCTGTGTGGCAAGGTAGAGCCAAGTTCCTGTCATGGTTGGCAGGTCAGAACCCGCCCCCTCCCAGCATCCTGTGTACTCATTCCTTAAGGCTTTCTGAAACAGCCTTGGCAGCTGTGTCTTAGTTCCCATTTTCCTCGCTAGAAACACACTGCCTTTCTCTCTTTTCCTAGTCAGGTGTGGCCTGAGCCTTCCTCTGTCCTCATAGGCCTCTTCAGGCCTGTCTGGGTGACGAGAGAGGAACCACGCGTGTGGCCAGGTGAGCAGCTGTCGCCGGTGACATTGTCAGTTCCAGACCTGCTTCAGGGTCAGATTGCAAAGCTCTGGAGGGTAGGAACTGGCTGGTCTGTGGGCTGTCTTCCTTCTTGACCATGTGTTTCAGAACTTGCTAGGAGTCAGGCCCTGTGAGATGGCAAGTGCTGATGGCCAGAGATGAAGGAGGGTGAGTCTTGACCTGAGAATCATGGTTTAGCAGGGAGAAAGGATGAGTACGTTCTCACCCTGGAAGCTCCCGTGACCAGCAGGTGTGGAGTTACAGAGGTTGCACCAGGAACAGGTGGTGCTGGCCCATGAGGAAGGTGAAGGGTGTCTGTCCTGTCCCTCTGAAGTTATACTAGCACTTTGGAGGCTGGGGCAGAAGGATCAGACATTCAAGGCTAGCCTAGGCCACAGAACAAGACTGCTCAAAACAAAAAGAAGAGTCCATTTCCTTCTCTGTGTCTCAGGAGCATGACCGGTGCCACGCCCTAGTGTGTGGTGAGTGTGTATTCTATGAATGAAAGAGAGGAACAGATGGGGGTGATGCCACCCATGAAGTCAGTTGTTAGAAGTCTGGGTGAAGACAGCGGGGAGGTGGGCTGGCTGGTGACACTAAGTCACCTGTGCTGGGAAGACAGGTCACTTGGTAAAGTTCATGAGGACTTGTGTTCCATGCTGGAATCCACATGTAAAGTTGGATGTCAGGGCATGGGGCACACTCCTCCCAGCTGCAATGGGCAGACAGATGGCCTTCTGAGGCCCCCCAGTCTCCCATTCCCACCTACTCAAAAAGCTCCAGCTGTCTCCAAGAAGGTAGACAACATTCCTGAGAAACAATACAAGGGTGTCCTCTGACCTTCGCATGCACTCGCTTACATACGCACACAACCATGTACAAACATCTGCCCATGTGTGCACATGACCACACACCAGAAATCAGCTATTGTCCTTCAAAAGTCTGTTTGCTGGGTCCCAGGAAGGGTGAGCCTGACTGATCTGCACCTTGGAGCTCCTAAGGCAGGCAGGTGCTCTTGCCAGACACAGTCCCTGTGGAAAAATGACAAGATTCCTCCCAAGGTCAGTGAAGTATAACTGATGCTTTCATTTTCTAAGAAGCCGCCCTTTCCAGGGCATGGGTGGTGGGGCTTCCTGACCCCCTCCCTATCTCCCTGCAGATTGATGCCTGGCCCTCACAGGGTAGGACAAATGGTCTGTGGTTTCCTGCTCTTTCCGCCTTCTCAGGCCCAGAGAGATCACAGCGCTGAATGATTTATAGCTGCCCTTTCAGAGGAGCCTGCAGAAAGTCATGCCGTGTGGGCCCTGAAAGCTGTGTTTTCTGCAGGACAGAAGGCAAGTGCTCTTTGGAGGCACTGCTGGGTTATGGAAAGCACAGCATGCCCCCCCCCCCAGCAGAGCCTCTCCCCTGCAGATTTGGGTGCCTAAAGCCAGCTGCACCCTCCGGATGCATAATCTGCACAGTCACTTAAGTGGCCTCCTTCGGAAGGAAGGAAGGAGGGAAGTCCTGGAGAGTCTGTTCCAACACTAAGCTGCGCAGAGTTGATATCTTTCTGTGTGTTAGCTTTGTTTTGTATGTAGTTGGGTTTCTAGTTTTGACTAGTCCAATTACTTGCTAAACATAAGCTCAGAGAGAGAGAGAGAGAGAGAGAGAGAGAGAGAGAGAGATTGTGTGTTGTGTGTGAGACAGTATACTTTAAAACCTCACAGACCATAGACCCAAGTGCTGTCTTAGGCATGAAATTCACTGTATTTTTATTTGGTTAAGAATGGGATTTTCACTGAGTTCTCTGCAGATAGGAATTGATGGATTTTTCTGTCGCACTCCTCTGCTGGGATCTAGGCTACAAAACTTCACTTTCCCAATGTTGTCCCCTTACTCCCAAGTTTGGGCATATCCTGTATGTTTTTTTTATTTTTGTTTTTTTTTGTTTGTTTGTTTGTTTTTTTTTTTTTTTTTGTTTGTTTTTTTGTTTTTTTTTTTTTTTTGTTTTTTTTTTTTTGCTATTCAGCTTCTCCCTCAGCTGGACTTGATTGGCCACAGTGCCCTTGCTCCACTCTGTCCCCTCGTCACCTGCCTGCCTCTTCCTCAGTGCTGCTTTCTTGTAAATCAAGATTCCACTTCCTTCACTAAGGGAGACACAATATAAATGGAGCTAAGTTTTCAGTCGCCAGAGAAGGGGGGATGGAGGGAGAAGGAAGACTTCAGGTGCTTGTTACATGGAAAAAACTAATGTTGAGAAAGCCAAAAGGAGTTTCACTCCTAAGCTCAGGATTTGTTTAGGCGGAGGCAAGAATGTCCGTGCAGCTCCTAATGAAGGGATTTAGGAGAACACTCGTATTTCTCAGGTTTACCTGGGTCAGTGTCTGAGGTGGTGTGTCCGTGCACTAAGTCTTGTCTACTTGAACTAAATGTGATGTCTCAAGCAAACACTAGTTTCATATTGAGAAATTTGACCAGGCTTTGGGTATTTACATTTGTTACTATGTTTTTATGCAAGGGGTAGGGAACTGCATGTCCCAAGTGCCTGTGGGGATCAAAGGACAGCTTGCAGGAATCTATTCTCTCCTTCTACCATATGGGTCCCCGGGATCAAACGCTGGTCATCAGGCTCAGGCAGGTACCTTTATCTCTGAGCCGTCTTACTGGCCCAGACTACTTAGTTTTACTTCTTTTTTTCTTCCCCTGTTCTTTTAGATGGACAAAGACTCCAGAATATTCACCACTCAGTATTCATTGTGATTCCATAGGAGATATAGGCATCCTATGTTGGGCAGTTGGGATGCTTGAGTATATTGTATTGTATTGGGGGTCTCTAGGACATACCCTGCAAAATACCCACAGGACTCAAGGCACAATCACATTGTGTGTGGTTTATGACAACAGGATGTGGGGCAGAGTCAACAAAGTGAAGGATGCCTGGGGCAAAGTCTAGATGGGACCAGGCACAGGTTCCCAGGGGAACTGCTCCGCAACTCTGCAGACAACTAGGTGGGGCAGGCTTTCCTCAGCAGTGAATGGAGAGCAAAATTAAGCTTAGCAGGAGGACTTCTCCTTGGAGGCCTCGGCCCAGCACTATTACAGGGGGCCAATTCTCTAGGCATCCCCTGCTCACACATCCCCTCATTCCAATTTTCCAGGCAATACTAGGTGTCCCTAGAGCCACAGCTTCTGACATCTGAGCTTTCTGTCTAGCCAGGGGCACACATGGTAGACAGGCTTTAGAAGACCAGCAGGCAGGACCAGTGAGTTCATGCTTTTCTGCTTATACTATGCCCTAGATCTCTTTCAATTCCAGCAGTGTGGTAGATGATTCCAACTTTATTTGCTATCATGTATTTCTGAAGTTGTGTGTTTTCTAAAGTGCATTTTCCTGTTGTTGTAGAGGTTCTAG